TATTCGGACTTTCGTTTCAGCCACCATATCTATGGCAATTTATTTCAGAACAATCACAATCTTTTTGAGCTTTAAGAGTATCCAAAATATAAAGGTATAAATAGATGATTGAATACCGCGTAGAAGTAACACATGTAAGCTGCACCCGGGACAGACTTGTAGTGAAATTTATTTTTCAACGTTTCATATACCATTCGACAGAGAATTTCGCGGTAATCACGAATATCACTTCCCAGGCTCTCAGAACCTTTTCCTCGCTGAGATATTTTCAAAATACTGAGAGTGTCTAAAAAAACCCAAAATCGCAAGGTTTTGGTAAAATGGCCGTAGTTTTTTTTGCGCTTTAGTTTTATTGCTCGGCACACAGCTTCTTGGATTCAGCATTAAAAACTGAGTCTAGACAGCTAGCTTTGAAAGCTCCAGACCAAAAACTGAAGTTTTAGGGAGGTCAGAAACCGGATCGACCCAAAAGCGTCAGGCAAAATTTTAACACAGGTTTTTCTGGAGGTGCTACAGCCAACATTTTTACGTGGCTAGATCCGCCAGATGCTGAGCTTCAAAACAACAAAGAGCTTTTTTTAAAATTTCTGTTCTTTCCTGAGTAAAGTTGACTTTACTTGGAAACATCGATATTCTGGCACTAATTCGCAATTTTCTCCATCAGGACTCAACTTTTACTCAATGAAAACATTATATTCGGAATCAGCATCGAAAATCGAGTCGAATGATGTACCTTTGTATCTTATTCGATCACTTTAATTTTTTTGAATTTTCGCGTCGAAGAATTATTACTGAGATTTTCGTCAAAAAATGAAAATCAATGGAAAAATTTGAAATATATATCATTCGAGTCAATTTTCGATGCTGTTCCGAATATAATGTTTTCATTGCGTAAAAGTTGAGTTCTAATGGAGAAACTTGCGAACTAATGTCAGAATTTCGATGTTTCGCCGTAAAGCCGACTTTTCTCAGCGAGGAACAGGAATTTTAAAAAAGCTCTTTGTTGTTTTGAAGCTGAGCATCTAGCAAATCCAACGCAGGATAAATGTTGGCTCTAGCACCTTTAGAAAAACCTGTGATAGGCTTACAAAGTTCGTTTCATGTCTTGGAGACTGTCTGCTAGCGACGTCTGTGGCGATCGAAGGTTTAGGGTAAAAAATGGTTTTGAGACCATTTCCGAATTCAGTTTTCGATGCTGAACCAGAAGAAAATAGTTAGAATTTTCCATCTTATAACTCAACTCAGAAAACGCGATTTCAAAAAAGACCCAAATTTTTGGGTTTCTGACACCTTGCGAGTTATTTGAATTTTTCGACGGAAAATAAGAGTCAGGAAAATTCGGGGAACACATATGCGTGATCAGCTCGAAGCCCGCTCTTGAATGGTATATAATAAGTTCAGAAATAAATTCCACTGTAAGTTTGCATTAGGTGCATCTTTTTTTTTTTAAACTTGTTCTTGTTTATTAAAAAATAGTTGTATTTAACTTCAACAAACAAACGCAGCTATGCTTGCAGACAAGTCTATGTTGCATAGTGCATAAAACGCTCAACCAAAAACCTAGCAAAACTACATTTTTTTTTGTTTTTTTAAACGCATCTTATACGTGCATCTTATATATGAAGAAATTAAAATAAATGGGATATTATGGAACAGAAAAAAAGCATAATAAATTTTATAGAAAGTTAGGAAACCAAAATGTTTCTCGAATAGCAATGGCAAAATATGTCCTTTATTTTCGAGCGATCTCAGCATAAATTTGAACGAGATTAACTGATTCTTTTAATTTTGTGAAATTACCACCCATTTGTCGATTGATGTCTTCTAAAACATCCAGTGCTGTATATCCAAGTGCAACAGTCCAAAACTGATGGATTTTTGTTTTCATTGTTATTAGTGTTTGTATTTGTCTATCGGGACGCTCTGCTCGCCCATCACTCATAAATATAATTATAAAATCTAAATTTATAACAGAACTGGACATCGGATTCTGAAGTTGTGCCATTTGCATAGTTTTGACTACCAAATCAAACGCATTACTAAAATTGGTGTTACCATGGGTAAATTGTATTCGGTTAATATCAGTTGTTTTTATGTCGACATTATAATAAGCAAACTTTGCATTATCATCAAATACAATAATTGTCATACGATCTGCTGCATTAGATTCAATACGGATATTAATGAACTCTTTAACACCGTCAAGTAAATTCTTCCATGGTTCTCCTTCCATTGATCCTGATGCATCAAGTAATAATATATAATGAAATGGCTTTGGAGCAGCTTGTGGAGTGTTTTCTGTGACAAACTTCATATCATACATTTTACATAAACGTGGGCCAATTCTACTCCAAACATTGAGAAATTTACCATGTAATTTAAATAATTCATCTGGTGTAATTGAATTACCAAAATCCCAATCGGTATGATCTTTCTTAAATTCTGACCATTTTTTCTTTGTACCTCGAACTATAATTGGTTTATCCTCTTTCATTTGTTCGCATTGAAATAATGATGCTTCATTTGAGATTTCAAACTTAATTCCAGCCATTGCTCGTAGTTGATGACCAGTTTGACAGGCATGACGATTATTTTCATCGCCTAAAACCATAATAAGAATGTAAACAAAAATGAAAAGAGATAAACATCAGAATTTAATATAAGTACAGTAACTATAGCAAACATCATAAGAAGCCTCTCTATAGAAAGACATAATTAGAAATTAGGTTAAAATTTCAATTGAAAATAATTTTTTCTTACGAGAGAACCTATCCAATTGGTAACTTCTGTTTAATTTCATATTTCGCCTATAGACAGGACTTATCTTCAGATAATAAAAATCCTAAAACGGTTCGTATTATTAGCCTTTATTCTTAAGTTTTTTACTGAGTTTTCACTCTATCATGGTGATGAGGAGAAAAACCTCAATAAAGAATTTCGACCTAAAATTTTCCTCAGTAAGAGAACTGAAGGTCCTTATTATATCCTGAAAGTTTCAGCTTAAAAGAATGGTTCTCTCCCTCGATAATACATTTGAAAAACACCACTATTTTTCCACAGAAGCACTGCAAATAGTCCATTTTTGAAATATTCAATACCTTAAGAAAGATTCATTCTTTTGAGTTGAAGCTCACAGGATATAATAAGGACCTTGAGTTCTCTTATTGAGGAAAATTTTAGATCGAAATTCTTTGTTGAGGTTTTCCTCCTAATCACCATGACAGAGTGAAACTCAGTAAAATGACCAAAACTTAAGAATAAAGGCCTAATGGCACAAGCCCTTTTAAAGTTTTTATTATCCGTAATGTGAGTCCTACCTATGGGCGAAATGTGAAATCAAACGGAAATTATCAGTTGGATAGGTTTCCTCGTTAGATCAAGTATGTTACATTAAAAGCTCATTTTGCTTAATGTCATGAGAAAAAAAAATACAACTCGATCAATGTCATAATACCTGGATTGGACTTAATTGCACTATGATCTACATCACAAGGTCTTTCACAACAAGGACATTTTGAAGTACAACCACGTGCTTTGTCTAATAATTTATTATAAATTTGATCTTTGTCGAATACTGGAAATATGGCTTGAGTATTATCATAGGCATATTCAATTTTATGTTTAACATCCATAATACTTTGAAGAAAAATGTGTAAATTTTTTATCGAAGCCATTGCTATTCGACTGTTATTAGAATTTTTACTATTGTTCATTCCTTTTATTAAAGCAGTTAACTGAGGGCTTGGTTCTGGTAGTTTTTCAAATAATTTTAATCCTTTAGGTTTTAATGTATACGTTCTATCAAATACAGTAAAAGATATTCTTTCTTCAATTTCGTTACCAGATAAGTATGTAAATAATAATAAAACTATGCATTGACCTTTATTTTTTAAATTATCAGCTGCAACTCCTCCTGATGCTTCAAATATATCATCAATATATTGCACAGAAGAACCTTCGTTTGCAAGTGAAGATTTCATGAATTCAATACGATTAAAAAATTCGACTAAAATATTTCTTCACTGACTTTTTTCTCTAGCTAATTGCTGATTAATTGTTTCTTCAACTGCTTTCCATAATATTTTGAATTCTTCTTCAATAATTTCATTTGGTGCAACAATATAACGGAATAGCCATTCATCGTCTGATGCCGCAGCTAATAATTTTCCATCACAAAGTCTTTGAATATGTTTTCGATTTAAAATTTGTAATGTTTCAATAATACGTAATAGAATTTTTTGTCCATCACGCATTAAATTCGATTGAATAGTATTTCGAATCTTATTTACAAGATTTTCTGCACCGATTTGATCACATTCTGCATCGGGTACAACCATACTAATAAAATAAGTTAATAATGAATCTTTTTCTTTGTCCAATATTGAAAGTTGTAGCCTAAAATGATTTTTTTGTTCATCATAATAAATTATTGTTAATAGAATCAAAATAGAAATATGAATTGATGATTTAATTTGTTTTGATAGTAATAAGTTAAAAACAAGTAATTCTTGATTGATTTCATTGATATAAGTGTTAATGAATCCGACAATTTTTTGGACAAGGTCAACTTCAATTGGTCGATGAACCGTATCATGTCCATGTACTATTGCTGTTGTATCGTCGATAATTTTGCAAAAGAGCTCTGGAATATTCAATATGTTTGACTTAGCGTTAGGATCATCAGTCATTTCTGTCCAGATTCTATTATGGACAGTCTTTATAAAATCGAATCGTAATGATATTGGATTAGTAGTTGTGGAGCTTTCAGTTGAAGTCTTTGACCATGGTGCAAAACCCAAATGGTTTGCTACTGTGCTTACGTGTCTCTTCATAGAATTGGATTTTGAGGTTTCTTTTTGATGAGATTGTTCATGTGGTTGATGTACTCCACTTTCTTGCATCATAGACGTTTGTTGATTCATGGTTCCTGTGGTGTAATAATTGGTTAACCTTTCTTTATATAAATATTTAAAATTGTGAAGAGTTGCGAATGTGTATACAGCAGTGGCATCGGATTTTTGCCTAGAATGTTCTAAAGCACCTTCCCGTGATCTAGACACATTATCTGCAGAGGAATTCTGTATTGAAACGATAACATCTTTCAGATCTTGTTTTTCACTTAGTTCATGAATGAATTCCAGTTGACTAATTACGACCTGATGAGATGGTAGAGATTCTTTTTCGAAAATATTATAATTTCCATAAACAAATTTAATAGCTTGTTTTAATCGTTCTTCTGCTTTAAAATTACTTTCAATTGATGTAATCTTTTTCTCCCACATGTTTTCAAATTCTTGTTTTGCTTTTTCTTTAGTCATAGTTTTTCCACTTTTGATAATATCTTCAATTAGATGACGGAGATCGTCAGAACCATCTCGAACTAAACGTTTCATTTGTTTTTTATCATGCGTTTGTATAGCTGCTGTACACCATACATTACAAATTTCTGTTACTTGTCGTTTTAAAAATTGTCTGCATCTCTCTCTGATACGCTCAGATGCATTTGTAAATTTAAAAATATTTTCTAAATCATTATCGAAATCATTTTGATGAACATCAAATTGAGCTTGAAAATTTTTTCGTATTTCATTCTCAGTTAATTCACATGTATCTTTGATCATGTTTTCACGATAAGTTGCTGATAATCTATTTGATATAAGATCACCAATATATTTTCGTATTTGATCATCTTGTCGACGTTCATTAATATCTTTAAAATAAGTTAAATCTGGAAATTTCTGTAACGTATCAAATATAGTAACAGCTGTTCGAAGCCATTTTGGTGGATTCGAGAACGTATCACCAGATCGTCCATAAGATGATTTAGCTGATTCAAGAATTTTTTCACATAACTGTTGTGTACGTTCAATAAAATCTGGCTCTGTACGTATAAAACATGAACTTTTAGTATCAGTTGATACACGTTCTTTTTTAAATGCTGATGGTAATGTATGAAATGTTTTTAAACTAATATCAATAACTTCAGCTAATTTGTTTTCTTTTAAATCTCTGAGTATTTTTTTAATAGCTTCCATATGATTTTCTATATTTGGATCAGCTTTTTGATTTAAAACAAAATGAACGATAGGTTGATTGGTAGTATTAACACCAATTTGTTTTAATGAATCTGCACATAATGTTAACATATCTTTTAATGTTTCATTGATATCACCCATCATATTAACGATAACTAAATGTGATATAGCTAAACAAAATAAAACTAAACGTCGATCGTATTCTTTATCACCCTTTTCAATCGATAATAAACCTTCCGTATCGATTAACATAATATAATCAATATCTGCGGTTTCATCATGTGAATATTTTTTAAAAATATTCTCAGTCATCTGATTCAATTTATTTATTTTGACTAATGAACCATAAATCCCTCGTGTGCAACGTCCTTCTCTAACATCAAACAATGTTCCAAACATGTAGTTTAATAATGTACTTTTACCACTGTTTTGTGGACCAATAATACTAATAATCAATATTCGTTGAGAATGAAATTCATTTAAAATTTCAGTTAAAAATTGTTGTTGAAAATAAAAATTATCACCATCTATAATTTCAAATGGAAAACCTGCTGCAACAAAAGCATAATAAGATTTTCTTATTAAATTCTGTGTATCAACTGTTGTATGTTGATAACAAACCATTAAATTACGCCAGAGTACTTCCAATGACAAAAATGAGTTTTCAATTGATAAATCACCAGCTAATTTATCTCCACCTAAATTTGTTAATTCGCTTTTCAATTCCGATGCTAATAAATCCAAACTCATTAACATATTTTTTGATTTTAATATATCAATAAATAAATCAAAAACATAACCACATTTCATTGGAGAGAGTGTCTTTGTATTAGGATCCAATTCATTTTCTAATTTAAATAACTGAGAATTAACTTCAAACATACTTTCACTTTCTGAACCATAGAAGTCAATCTTTTTCAATTTTTGTCGTAATTTGCATAATTCTCGAAATTTCAAGTATAGTGGAAAATTTTGTTCTCTTTGATGCTCATTTTTTTGTAATAAGCTTTTTTTCAATGGTTGAATAATATCATCCATTGTTTTTAAATAGTCGACATAATCTTTTTTCAGCAGTTTTTGTAAATTTACTATTACTCCATCTTTGCCAATGAATGTGTTTATTTCTTCTTTTATTTGTGTTAAAATATTTCTACGTAAAGTTTCAACAGCGATTTTAACATTTCGATCATTTGTACTGGAAATATTTGGTAATGCACAGACATGCAGTTTTTGCGATAATTTTGATTGAGACTGCTTGGCGAAATTTTGGATTTTTAACAAAAAATCTTCTGCATTTTGATTTGGTAAATCACGAAAGATGATCATTTGAAATTTTTCTCCAGATAATGCTTCCATATAGTCAAGTATATCCTTTAATTGTCATAAATTCATATTGTTCATTTTTATTGGAATTTTCAATATTTGGTGAAATAAATGGTACTGGATTTCGTTTACTTAATAATGACATAACAATTCGTCTTAAAAATATATCGGAATTGATGAATAAGACATGTACCAGCATTCGTAAACTCAAATTTGTTCTTTCCGTTGATTGATGGATTGATTTCTGCTGTATTGGGTGATATTTAAATATAAGTGTAGTCATAAAATGATCTAAATTCTGTAGACGTTTTAATAAATACATTACAGGTGTTAAACAGTTCTGAATAAATTCGGAAAATGACTTATGTTTATGTTGAAAATCAGTAACCAACTTTTCTGATATATCTGCTAAAGTTTGGTTGATATATTGTAATTCACCAGCTTGGACTAAATGTTCTAACTGAAATAGTTCTTTTTGTTTACAACTTAAAATGATATTCATTTCATTTTTATTATGACCAACGATAGGTGGGACATCATTCGGCTGTCCAGGTCCTTTTGTAGGACCACCTGGCTTTGGCATAGGAATTGGTTTTTCCTCTTTTGGTGCTGTTGGTCTTGGGACAACAGGTGATCTTATGTAGCGTTCACCTACAAAAATTAATATTACAACAGGTATCAAATATGATGCACTTCTCAAATAAATTATGAATACAAAATGTGCTCGAGAAATGACAACACTTAAAGAATTCATAATGAGTTCCGCATATTGTAAGTTTACTACGTTAATTTCTATAGGACTGAATACAATTAACAGAAATCAAGCAAAAGATATCATAGTTTTATAATAAGATCTAACGAACGAAAAATGCACACGTCCGAAATATCTCTTTGTGATATTTAGACAGCAACCTTATAAGCATCTAATAGAACCATAGTGTCTGGATAAATTCAATAAATATTTACAAAGCCACCCATTCGGCAGATGTAGTTTTTTATGGGACCAAACAAAAGAAAGTCCAACTAAACTAAAATCGGTAAGATGAAAAAGACAAATTATTCTTCCTATATGAATAGGCCAATTGAGAATTATGAAAAGTGCCATGATCAGCATACCAGAGAGCTTTTATATCACGCTTAGTTATACAACTCTAGGACATGCTATTAATACCAGGTCTTTACATAAAATACGTTGCTAAGTGTCTGGCAATTGATCAAACTATTTCAGTTTAATATAGACCGAGTGTAAACCAACAGAAGTTGTCGATGCTCAAAATCAGAACTGAGCAATATACAACGCTTCGAGTAAACAGAATTAGTGTTTCTTCATATGCAGAGGAATTAGCCTTTTGGCTAAAACATAAACTAACGAGGAAACCGCCCGAGGTGTCCCCTCCGATTTTCACTCATTTATATCTCATTCGATCGAGTATATTGAGATAATAAAAGGCCTAAAGGCGTTTCTGCTCATGACTCTTCATTCAAAAGCTATGGCCGTTTTACTGAAGTTTCGATCCATTCCTACTGTCCGTCCAAAAAGTCCGTACGTGTGACTGTTTTTCGAATAACTTTTGATAGAAACAAGATAGAGACCTGCGGTTTTCGGTGTTTGGCAGCCAAGACCCAGACGCACATTTTCGCCAGCAAAATCTTTTCTGAGAAAAATAAATCTTTGAACCGGTTTTTCAGAGAATCTTTGAAAAACCACGCTAGATTTCTGGAAACTTGCATAGAAGTCTATTAATTCTTTTACATATTCGGAATCAGCATTGAAAACTGAGTCAACTCATATATGTAACGGATTTACGTTACTTGACCGATTTCCCTTCTCGCGATATATTCTTTTGGCCCCACAGGGCCTTTTATTACCAGTAACTTCTACTTCACACAAACAAGAACTACACACACTGTACAATCATGCGTTATATATAGAGAGAGAGAACGATAGTGAGAGAGAGAGAGAGAAAAGAAAGAAGATGATAGAGAGGAATATTGATGGTTATATATCTGTCGAATGAAATTAGAGATACCTAAAAGAAGATGATTGGTCCTTTACAATATATGTTTCGAATCTTTTCACGAACCTTTTTTTTCGTCGAAAACCTCTCCTCCCGGGGAGTGGTGTCAACTCCCACAGTTCCGTGGAAAAAACAGAATTGAAGCAGAATCAACAAACAAGGCGCACTAATCCACTACAGCAATATTCTGCAGGAAGTTGCAGATTCCGTGCAACGCTGCTGTGATTCTGGCAGAATCTGGTGCAATTCTGCCAGAATTCAACGAGAATCCACTATATATTCTATTTCACATTAAGACGCTCTCTAGGACTTGGCAGATTTCAATGCTTGAATTCTCGTAGAATTGCAACAGATTCTACCGGAATCACAGCAGAATCTGCCAATTCGTAGACACTGCTTTAGTGTGAAATAGAATAGATAGTGGATTCTGGTAGAATTACACCAGATTCTACCAGAATCGCAGCAGCGTTGTACAGAATCTGCCACTTCCTGCAGAATATTGCTGTGGTGGACATATATCTTTTTAACAGACTTAAATAGATTTCTTCTGTTAGACATCTTTCATATGTGAGTGTAGTATAAAATATAATAGAAGATAGAAGATAAAGTCGTTACCACGCACAGTTTCATCGACCGTACATTTGTAACGTTCTTCTCTTCTTCGTCTTCTTATAACTATCAATAATTCACTTGATTCAATTATGCATCCCAAAACATCAATGCAAAAACACCATACGGGTCCAATCGTTACAAAATTTAAGTCTGATAAATTGAAGCGTGCTCAACGAACATAAGGCAGTTTATGTGCAAGAACGGATAATTAGAAAATTTCCCGTTAAACACAAAGCACGTATATTTATATATTGTCGACACATGAGAAAATAATTGTGTTTCAATATATGCGGGCATCGAAAAGGAAGATCCGATGCAGTTTTTCGAGCTCTTTCAAATGGTGACGTCAGTTTTACCCCCAAATCTCGTCATTTTCCCCTTAATCGTTTTTACGACGAAATTTCGTGTTTTATATCCCGATCGGGATATAAATTCGACTAAAACTAGTTAAAGGTTTTTGTTTGAAAAAATAGTTGCTGGGTGCTTGATATACTTTTGATCAAACACAACAGAATTCGATGTAGTTTTTCGAGCTCTTTCGAATAGTGAAGTCAATTTTACCCCAAAATGTCGTAATTTTCCCCTTAATCGTATTTACGATGAAATTTCATGTTTTATATCCCGATCGGGATACTACTTTTTTTCTATATCCTGATCGGGATATATATCCTGATTAGGATATAGGAGGTGTCCCCTTACTGTTTGAAGAGCTGCAGTAATCAAATTATTGACTTTATTGCACGATGTTTTACCCGGTTTTTTCTTCGGGAACATCATGCAAAAAAGTGATCGTCAATCGCCACAAAACACGTAAGAGCATTTATATTTCTAAGAGAAAAGTATAAAATATGACAGATGATATTTTCATGTAAAAACTTAAGTTCATCACTGTTTCTGCTTGATTTGAACTTTTAGGCGTTTATATAAAAGAAACTAAATTTAGAATAAAATTTGTTTTATCTGTTATTCGATGTTCTTATGTATCGTCTATATAAAAGCGAAAACACGACAAAATGTGCGCGTGGAAAGGAGAAAAGAAAGTAGAGAGAAAAAGAAAAAAAGTAACAGAACAAGAAAAATGCCTAAATTTCCTACAGGAAATCGCAAAGACCGTGGCGACCCTATCAGAAACTCAAAGTATAATTATAAGAAGCCCGCTGTCGGATTCGCCGTGAAATTCTGCATATATCGCCTTAGTTTCAACTAATTTGATGCAGCGCGGCAAAATTACCCATTTTTCTAATGCAAGCGTTTCACTTTACCTATCGTGTGTTAGCCGAATTGGGCTATAAGTGGTACGTGAGTTGTACATTTCAGCCTAAAAGGGGTTGCGCTAACAATCTTTTTCATCCTGCAATAAAAGAAACAGGGCATCAGTGCCTATAATGTAGTATAGTCAGAGCAGTTTTTTATCAGTGACATTAAGATTCTAAGCGAAAAAATTTAAAAAAAACTTCCATTCACATCAGATTACCTGAATTTCGGGGATGTGTAGGAGCTGATGGTCGTTTAGGTGTTGCTGGAGTAAAACAACGAATGTGTCGTATTCTGTACTTTGATCCTTTTTGATCCCGGTGATTAGAATGAAGTTTGTCCAATAGTATTTGGTAAGATTCAGATGTCATATTATTTTCGATTGGTTTCATATCAGCCAACCAACCGTGTTTCGCAACATTGTCTAGTAATACATTATACAAGTTTTCCTCGTATACAATATCGCTTTCTTTCAGTAATGAAAACACTTTTTGACGATAATATTCGCGTAATGCTTGGAATAGTATCAGCTGATTCATTTTTAATTGTTCATTCAACACATCTTTAAGGATACACGTAGAATGTTGCGTAACTGATTTTAAACCATCGTTGGTTATTGTAAACCACAGATCATTGAAAATATCGCTTATTGTCAAGCTTTTGTCATTAATAATTTGAAAAAGAAGTTGTAACACAATAGATAATACTGGACAATCTTTCATATATTTATTTCCAAATTTAGCTGTACGAGTTAAAACACGTTCATACCTATCATGGTTTTCTCCATTACCATATTGTTTAAGAAAAGCAATAAACCATGGATTTGAATTGCTATATTCTATTTCCCATTTCTGTTGAAAATAGTTTTTTAAAAGGATAATCAATTTATCATTACTGCCATTCATTACATCTCTATATATTTTGGGTTTTATATCATCCTGATAGTTGACTAATGATTGTCGACCATTCTCTAATATATTATTAACAATTTCTTCATAATTATCATTTCTGTCTAGTTGTAATAGACTTATAATTTGATTTCTAATTGATTTCATAGAATCTTCACCAACATCGGCATTGTGTGAATTTTCGCATGAAGAAGTTTCTGTTCTGGGCAAATCAGAACATTCAGCCATTCAGAATCTTTACTCAGTTCGAATGACTGAGAAATAATTGTATCTTCTGCAATGATGAAAGACAATGTCGATTTCACAAATCTTTACCTGAAAGTTTCTGGATAAAAAAACTATGAAAATAATACCGATTTACTTTTTCTTAGGGTCAACTACTTGCTACTGAAAAGCATTTTTTCAGTCTTTTGCTTCGACGACTACAACGATAGACATCAGCCATTATCTTCGTACTTTGTTAAATATATTATTTTCTCGTCTTGTCAATTAAAAAAGGAAGAGTTGGCATATCAATACTGGTACAAGTTATTAACGCCATTCAAGTTGACGGGAAAATATTGAGAAGCAGAAATGCGAGATGAGTCTGGTCAAGTCAAATCTAAGTATTATGATTCGCTTTGTTTCCAGTTACTAGTTCTTTAGCTTCTTCGAATTTGGGTTTAAGTGTGCAGTAGTTTTTTGTTGAGACAGTCACAACGTTTTCTGATTTTTCAAAGTGATTCTAGTTAATTTTAGGAATGAATGACGCATAAAACAACCCGCTACTTTTTCCATATCTAAAGAGGTGAATACACTTAAAAATCTTGTCTTCTGCATTTCTCGAACCGACATCTATGTTAAAACACGATAAAAACCCGCCAAAGAAATGACTAGTGAAAGATGAATCAAAAGAAAACACTGCTACTAAAAGCAGCGCACAAAAAGTGTGTAATCATGCAAAATGTCTGTGTTTAAGCTTGGCATACAACAATGACAGTGAACCGCTGGATCGATGACAAAAATGGACGGGTACACCAGTCCATTTTTAATGAATTCTGTTTTTTAATGTTACGTAGCAAGGCTCAGAAAGGAGGAGAGATTATAAGATTCTAAATCGATCCATCAGACTTTCTCAAGGAAACTCTTATTATCTTATACCAAATGAAGATCTCATTGAGATAAGCATGTTTGGTGACGAGATCAACAATTGCTTTACAGGCGAATAAA